ATTCGGGAGGGGTCGAGGGACTGACTTTGATCGGATCTTGACCGATTCTTGTGGGAGCCCATACAGCTCGGACCCCCAGGCCGTCTGCACAGATCGATGAGCTTGGGATGTGGTCCTTGGCACCTGGAACACCTGGAACCGCGACAGCCGCCACGCGCGTGCAGCATGCATCGTGTGTACGTGACACAAGACAATGGTTTCGGAGCGTCAGCAATGCAGCCTGGCCTGGCGTTCGGAGGCACGCGTCCATCGGTGCGGGCCGGGCCTAGGGCAGCAGCATTCATTCGTCATTCGTCAAGCAGTGGCGAAGCATCCCGGCTCGCTTACAGTCCCACCAAACAGTGTTCTAAGAACATCTGGAGGTTCCGACGAAATTTTCTTAAAACATTTCTGGTTGGGACGGTCTTGTTTTATCACATCGTGTTTATGTTCGAAGAACATTGTTCTTGTTCATAGAACATTTTTGGGTTCTAAGAACATTTCGTGGTAGGACTATAATAGAGGAATGCCGGGACGGTCGGTCCCTGCTCAAATTCGGTTCTTGTTGGGGTTTCCGTGCGGTGTGGGGACAGGACGAGAAGGATGAGTGGGCTAGACGGGCACCTCATGCTGCAGTACTTCGGCAGCATCTCATGGGAGCCTTGTATGTTCTAGAGTGTTGTAATCGATGGGGGCGCGCCGATCTAGCGCCAATTCGCGTCGAGTTCGCTTCGGCCAGCGTCGATTCGCGTCGGATGGCGTCGGTGTGTGTCCATTTGCAAGAGCCAGCAAGATGATCTGGAAGGCTTCCATGAGTTGCCACCGAACAGTTCGCCCTCCTGGCCCACGCCACTCCCTCTTGGGCCATTTTACTACAGTCAACCCGCATAGTAAGGATGGGCAACCTTCCCAAGGGTACCCTTGCATCCTTGCCTCCTCGGTCCATCCTTGGCCACTTTCCCTGGCCGCGCCCCGCTGGAAAAGCTTCGCAATGGGCGTCCAAGGCCCTTGCATCCTTATCGCGCATCCTTCTGCTACGGGCCGACTGTACGCGCTCCTTGCCCACGCCCCTCCCTGTTGGGCCAAGGTGCCACAATTTCTATGCTTAAGTCGGGCCTGTCCCTCTACAGGGGGGATATTCAAACATAGTCAAAAACTAGTCGGGGGTCCATTTGTTTAATATTTTTTGACAATTTGGGGTGTTTTTTAAAAATAGTAGTTTAAGACCTCAGGCACGCGGCAGGGCCACGGGCCCCCGCCGAGGTGCCCCGAGGCCTCCGGAAGCTCGGCAAAGACGGAGAGCAAGCAACGGCACAAACATAATGACGCCTCCTCCTCCCTCCTCCTCCTCCTCCTCCTCCTCCTCCTCCTCCTCCTCCTCCTCCTCCTCTTAGATCTGCGCGGGGGACCCCTGGGTGGCGCCTCCGGCGCCGCCAGGGAGGGGGGTTCTTCGCCGATCCAAGAAATCCGCGCGAAGCTCAGATAAGTTGTGTGTTGTGCCATGTCCTGCTCCTTTGCAAACGCCTCCGCAATCCTCCTCCTCTCCAAGGGCCCGGCGAGGGACCAGGGTTCAACTGCGGTAGGGGCGTTGGTCGGGGAATGTTTCCAGGAGGTTTCAGACCCTGGCGGGTTCCTCATCTGATGAGGGCGGCGCTCCTCCTCCTCCTCCTCCTCCTCCTCCTCCTCCTCCTCCTTCCTCCTGCTCCTCTTGCTCCTCTTGCTCCTCCTCCTCCTCCTCCTCCTCCTCCTCCTCCTCGTCCTCCTCCTCCTCCTCCTCCTCCTCCTCCTCCCTGTCCTCCTCCTTCCTCCTTCTCCTCTCGCTCGTCTTGCTCCTCCTCTTTCTCCTCCTCCTCGTCCTCCTCCTCCTCCTCCCTCCTCCTCCTCCTCCTTCTCCTCCTCCTCCTCCTGGCTATCAGACCCTGGGCACCTTGATCTGGGCACACCCTCCTTTTCCGCGGGTGCCAGGCGGTGGACCACATCAGCAGGCCAGAGGTGGCCCAGAACATGAGCCCGGAGGAGAAGGAGCAGGCCGGCCTGGCCAGACGCCGTGCTCCGCCGCAGCCCCTCCTGGAGGGAGGGAGTGAGGGAGGAGGTAGTGAGGAGGTGGGAGGGAGGAGGGAGAAGGCAGGAGGAGGAGGAGGAGGAGGAGGAGGAGGAGGATGGAGGAGGAGGAGGAGGAGGAGGAGGAGGATGAGGAGGAGGAGGATGAGGAGGAAGGAGGAGGAGGAGGAGGAGGAGGAGGGAGGAGGAGGAGGAGGGATGAGGATGAGATGATGAGGATGAGGATGATGATGATGATGATGATGATGATGATGATGATGATGATGATGATGATGATGATGATGATGATGATGATGATGATGATGATGATGATGATGATGATGATGATACTGATGATACTGATGATGATACCGATAATGCTGCTGATGATGATGAGGAGGAGGAGGAGGACGAGGAAGAGGAGTGGGATGATGATGACGATGAGAAGGAGGGGAAGCCACTTTTCTGCGCGAGGCACTTTCGCCAGTAGATGGCCCGGAGGCGGGAGTGATGGAGTGAGGGGAGGGAGGAGGAGGAAGGAGTCAGGAGGGAGGGAGAAAGGGGGAAGGACCTCGCGGTGCGCGGCAGCCCCAGCCCGCCCGATCCCCTCGCCCCCCGAGAGGCGATGGATGATTTGCGCTCTGCCGCCTCCCCATTTGGGCCTCCAGCGTCCCTAAACGTGGCATGTCCGTTTGGGGGACCTTCCTGGGGCCCACGTAACGTATCTGCTCGATTCCAGCTCGACCCTGTTTGACAGATTTGTTTCACCCGTCTGGGCTTCCAGGATCACCGAGCGTGTCACGCGACTGGAAAAGTTCAGGAGAGAAAGAAACACACAGACACAATTAATCGCCGATTCCCCAGAAAATATGGGAAAATATGGGAAGTGGGGGGAAGACAGAAACCCAGAAAATATGGGGAACATTTTTTTTTGTGCGTATTTATTTGTGTGTCCTGGGGCCCCTTCAAAAGCGCCTCCTCGCAAATGTCACAAAACAAACATGTCTTCCTATATGTGATGGGTTGTGAACCTCCCGCGGCGGATCCAGGCCGTTCGCGAGTAGTTCCTTTGCGCGAATCGTGGAACGCGCTTTGTCTTCAGCAGGCGCCCGGTCGCCACGGCCAGATGCAAGTCGGGCCGGGCGAAAGGGGGATAGGTTTCTCTTCCTTTTGGTCGTTTGTCCTCGATGTTTTGGCCTCTGGGGCTCGCTCTTGGGCCCCAGGATCATCGACCGCACGAGCCCGGGACGAAACACGGGTCGGGACCTCTGGGGCCGCGCATTGAACAAATTTTGCGGTGCCCCCGCCCCCATGGTCGGGCCGGGCGAAAGGGGGGGGTACGAAATCTGCTGCACGCAGCTGGTTTCGGCCTCACCGAGGGGCCCACTCCTCGATGCATGGCCGCCTCCGGCGCCGGGAGGCGCCGGGAAAAGCAGCTGCGTGAGCTGATTCTCAACCCCCCCCCCTTTGCTTTCCCCCCCGTTCGCCCGACCCGAGCAAGGCGGGCGTCTCTTCCCCATCATGTTTCGCCAAGGCCAGATGCCAGGCGGCCGCTTCTGG